GAGGCTCCAGCAGTGCCACCGCGGACGGCCTCTCGGTGGGCCTCTCTGTCCTTCGGGCAGGCCCCGCCGGCGCCTCTCCCCAGGCCCCCGACGCCGTGGCTTCTTCACGACGCGGCCCCCCAGAGGTCCGGACCCCTTCCCCGGGAGCGGCGTCTCCTCCCAGGAGCGAAACAAGGACGTACATGTACATGAATCCACGCTGGTTTCGAGAGCACGCATTGCACAAATGTTCGTATAACGCGGCGGGTCTCGCGAATCGAGGGGCCGTGTTCATGTACATAGCTTGGCGCGTACGTCCTTTGTGGGCTCCCTATCCTCCCGAGCCGTTCTTGGACGGTCCCGAGGCCCCGCGGGGGCCACCGGGGGCCGAAGATGCACTCATCGAGGACCCTCCCCCCGCGATTGTGGCTGCACAGCGCGAGGGGGTCTGGGTTCGGGGCAGGCCTGAGGATGTTCCAACCTGCTGTAGCCTTGATCATCAGGAACATCTTGCGAGCACCAAGAAACCGGAGGGCTCTCACGCGCCGGGCCCTGGGAGGCGATACTCGCTCCACCCTGTCTGGGTGCTCGAAGTTCTCTCTGGGATGTGGTCCCCAAGTGCGACGGGAGCAGCATAAGGCAGGCCCCACCCCCTCGGCGCGCCGCCGAGGAGGGGGGGGCCCACGCCAACGGGTGCGGCGCAAATGGGCGCCGCTCCCGTGTGCAGCGCACGCTGGAGCAGTGCGCTCTCGCAGGCCGCTTCTGAGAGACGCCATGCGGGCAGGGATGGCGCCCTCGGGCGGCTAGCCGAGGCCAGTGGGCCTTCTTGTATACCCGTCGGTCGTGGATCGTCATAATCCTTTGGGAATAATAATAATAATACATATATATATATATATACACAGGTGGCACGTGTGTGCCCAGGCTCATGCAAAAAAAAATGAAAGGCTGCTTGAAGCAGGAGAAGAGGAGGAGGATAGCTGCTGGGAGAGGAATGCAATAGCCAGGTCGCACTCGAGCGCAAGTGGGGTTGCCACACCTTGCGATGTGTGTACCAGGGCCCCCCAGGAAGCCTCAGGAGGCCCGACTTGGATACCGGAAGAGGCTACAGGAGGCCCCAGGATTGTGAGTGTTGTGTGGTCGTGTGTGATGTGTGCTCTGTGTTGTGCGTGTTTTCTGTGCGTTGTAGGTGTTGTGTGTGTGTGTGTTAAGTTTGTCTAGCGTGTGAAGTGTTGGGTGTGATTTGTGTCTCTGTGTGTGCATGTAGTTCTGAGGCCCCAGGAGGCCCCAGGAGGCCCCAGGCGGCCTCAGGAGGACCCAGGAGACCCAAGGAGGCTCCAGGAGGCCCTCAGAAAGCCCCAGAAGGCTCCAGGAGGCCGCAGGAGACCCAGGAGGTTCCAGGAGACCCCCAGGCGGCTCCGAGGCGGGGTCTGGTGTACCAGAAGGTACAGAAAGCCCGAGGAGGTTCCAGGAGGCCCCCAGGAGGCTCCAAGGCTGGGTCTGGGGTACCAGAAGGTACGTCGGGGCTCGATGTTGGGAGAATGTCTCAGGCGAAATCGCCATTCTCTGAGAATCGGGGTCAAAGTCATTGAAATTACAATGTGTTTTTGAAGGTTTTATGTTAGAATGTTGAAATTCCCATGTGTTTGTCGACCCTGACGTCACGATCTGCGTGAGGGGTGCCACCGATTTTCAGAATTTCGAGGATGTCCCGAGCGAAACGGCCAGCAAAATCGCGAACGCCCCGCGTACGCATTAATCGCCTCTGAGCTCTACTCCCTCGGAGAGGTGCGTATGATAATATATATATATATATATATATATACATACATACATACATACATACATACATACATACATACATACATGCATGCATGCATGTACACACACATATATATATATATATATATATATATATATATGTGTGTATACATACATACATACAACAGGATAAAATAAGAGGCCTGAGCATACACTTTTGGCGCTCCGCGCGGGTTTCTTGGATCCGCGCGGGGGCTCCACCTGGCGGCGCCTTCAGCGCGGCCCCTGGCGCGCGTTTCCCGCGCAAGGGAGGTGGTCCAGCGCCGATCCGAGAGGTCCAGAGCGCCAAAAAATTTATGTTGATGGCGTTTCTTCTTTTTCTTCTACGTATACCCGTCGGTCGTTGATAGTCTGTATTTTTGGACTCTAGGCGACTCCCTATTCTAACGGTCGATTGGTGCTCCCGCTTCCCTCCTCTTCATGTGGCGGGCGGAAGTCCAATCTGCTTTCAACGCCTTCCTATTTCATGTCTCCACCCCCTCCTTCCGACCGGAGGGTACCTTGTGATTCTGCCTTAAGCGTGCGTCAGCGTCAGCGGAGATGTTGCGTCGACTGGCGCCGATTTGGCGTGGACGTGGCGTCGATTTGGCGTCGATTCGCAAGATCCGACGTGATTTCATGGGAGGCTCCGATGAGAGTTGCCGCAGAGTTGGCAGCTCCTCCGCGGGAGTCCGCGGAGCGGGCCTCATGGTTTTTGTTGCTACTCCTCGGTTCGGAGAATCATCACCCATCGGTCGTTAATGCTTTCGCTGCGTTTTGTTACTCTGGACGGGCCCGAACCCAATCTACTCTATCCGCCGTCCTACTTGATGTTTCTACCTACTTCTTCCGACCGAAGGCTATTGCTGCCCCCCCGTCTGATGCCCAATGTGCAAATTTCAGCTGAAGTTCCCCCCTCCGCTGGGTTCACATTCTGTTTCTCGGAGAGTGTCTTTATGCTCAACCCGTGCCCCATGGCCCCCAGTTTGCAACACCAGCGGCTCCCAGCTGATACCTCTTCGCAATGTATTGAAGTTCGCGCTCTTGCGCCAGACTTCCTCGCAACTTACTCAGAAATCGCGCTTACGCGCAGGACTTTCTTATTATTCTTGCAGTTCACTAAGGCGCTGCGCCCTCGACGCCCACGAAAATCGCGCTCTCGCACGTGATTCCTTAACGGTGTACTCAGGACTTGTGCTGTCGCCTGAGGTTTTTTGTTGACAGTAGCGAAGTTCGCTTTCATGCCCCCCGCCCGACCCACCCGTTAGGGCCCGCCCGCCCGACCTGCCCGTGAGGCTCCGCTCATCCGACCCGCCTGCTAGGGTCCGCACTTCCGCCTGCTTGGCAGCCCGCCCGCTTCAACGTCCCACAGGACCGCTCCTTCAGGCCGGGCCCGCCAGGCCCGTCTGGCAGGGTCTGCCCGCCGGGCCCGCCTCTTGGGGTCCGCCCCCCCGACCTGCCCGTCAGGGCCCGGCCGCTCGCGCGCTCGACCCGCCCTCCGACCCGCCCGGCAGGGCTTGCCCGCCGGGGAGGGCCGGCCCGCCCTCCCCGCCCTGCAGGGCCCGCCTTTTTTCTGCCCCCCCCCCCTCTGCTCCTCTGTCCCCCCCCTTCCTGCGAAATCTTGCTGGCCCTCACCCCCCTTGCCCGCCCCGCCCCCCTCCTGCCCCTCCCAAGCGTTCCCCAGTGGCCCAGTGGACCATGTTATTCCGCGTCGCCCCGCGCCCGCCACCCCCCCACCCCTCCCCAGCCCCGCCCCTGCGATCTCCCCTCCCAGCCCTCCCCACCGTGCCCCAACGGCCCAGTGGAACTTCCGCCCAGTGCCCCCTCCGCCCCGACAACTTTTTCCGCGTCGCACCGCGCCCCCCCCTCTTCCCGCCCCCTTCCCACCTCTCCGCCCCCTTCCCACCTCTCCGCAGCCCCCACAGTGGAACCTCCGCCCAGTGCCACCTCCGCCCCGACCATTGTATTCCGCGTCGCACCGCACACTCCTCCTCCTCCTCCTCTTCCCAGCGTTCCTCAGACGCCCACTGGAAACTCCGCCCAGTGCCCCCTCCGCCTCGACAGTTATTCCGCGTCGCACCGCGCCCCCCTCCTCCCCTCGGCAGCATTCCCCAGATGCTCAGTGGAACCTCCGCCCAGTGCCCCCTCCGCCCCGACCACTGCATTTCGCGTCACACCTCGCGCCCCCCCCTGCCCGCACCCCTCCCAACCCGCTCCAGCGTGCCTCAACGGCCCAGTGGAACTTCCGCCCAGTGCCCCGTCCGCCCCGATCACTTGAAAAGGCGTCGCACCGCGACCGCCCCCCCCCGGCCCACTCCCCCATACCCCTCCCCAGCCCCAGCGGTCCAGTGGATTCTCCGCCCAGTGCCACCTCTGCCCCAACTATTTCATTCCGCGTCGCACCGCGCCCCCCCTCCTCCTCTCGCTCCCTAGAGGCCCAGTGGAACCTCCGCCCAGTGTCCCCTCTGCCTTGGCCATTTTTCTTCAGCGTCGCACCGCGCCCCCCCCCGCCCGCCCGCCCCCCTCCCAACCTTCCCAGCGTGCCCCAACGGCCCGGTGGAACCTCCGCCCAGTGCCCTCCCTGCCCCGACCATCTTATTATCTTGCAACGCTGCGTTCTAGAATTCGGACCTCTTTATTTCCGTTTTTCGTTCGCGCGTCGTTCGTCGTTCGTCCTCCCCCCCGGCCTCGGAAGGAAGCTCCTGGAAGAAGGAGGCGAAAGCCTCCTGTCCTTCGCAGCTCCTTGGTGCAAGAGCCAGGGCACGCATGCCACTTGTTGGCCTTCACTCCTCTATTCCTCTGGCCCCCATCCGTTTTCATGTCCCCCTCATTTCCTCGATCACTCCGTTTTCATTTCCCCTCGTATTCCGTTTTCAGGGTCGCACCACTTACACGTGGCAGGTAAGGAATACATACCCCCAAGGGATCGTAGACGAAGGGGGCCGGTATCAGGGGCTTCGGGGATACATGTTATAGCTGATGTTGTTGGATGAGGATCAGGATGGGGAGGATGAGAAAGCGGACGAGGATGGGGATGAAGATGAGGCGATGGTCATGGTGGTGATGGCGGTGATGATGATGTGGTGATGGTGATGGCGATTCTGGTGGTGGTGACGATGGCGGTGACGAGTAATGGCGTTGCTGCTAGTGGTGGACGACTTGGTCCATCGGAGAATCGAGCGACTTCCATCGAACTCCTCCCCAGCCCTCCCTGATGGCAGGCGGGCGAGGGCGACGACGTGGGCGTCCTGTTCCTGAAGCTCGCGGACGGCCGAGGGTGGCTGCTCGACCGGCACCCCGAGCAGGGCCAGCTGTGCCGCAGGGCCACCCTGGAGCCCCGGCCATTGGGGGCAGGACGGAGTGTGACTTGGACGGGTCGCAGTCGAGCGCTGCGGTCGGACCGAGGTACACCTTAGGCGATGCTTAAGAAAACTTAATTTTTCGGCCAGACTCTCGATTATTCTTAATGTTTCAATGTAAATCCTAAGATTTGAATGGAAATGTTGGGTTTTTATTCAAGTTCTGAGACTCTGAATTTCTTAACCCATGATTTCTTAAGCATTTCGCAGGGTGTACAAGATCGAGGTCGGTTCGGGGAAGGTGCCCCGATGTTCCTCGTGCCTGTTGGATGTTCCTTGCGCGTCCTGGGGGGGGGGGGGGTACACCCTCGAGTGTTCTGCAGGTTGGGCCGGCGGAGGGTCTCGCGTTCTTGGAGGATGTTCTTCTGTCTCAGGTCTGGACCTGGCTCCCACACAAAGCCGCACCGGTGACAAGGAGCAGAAGGAGGAGGAGGAAGAGGGGGTAGGAGGGGGAGGGGGAGGAGGAGTAGGAGAGCAGAAGGTGGAGGAGGAGGAGGAGGAGGTCCTTCGGAGACGCAGCGTGCTAAGAGCGTCGGCGTCGGGAGGAGAGGGAGAATCGAGGGCAGTCTGATCGAGATCTCGAGAGCGTCCTCGGGTACCTCTTCAGCGCTCTTGGGGTCTCTGGAGCGTCCTTTGGGTGGCGCCGCGATGAAGTACCATCTCGTCCGGTGTCGCCGGTGTTCCATGACGCGGGCCTCCCAGGGATCTCGACTATTTCCCCAAGGCAGGCGTTTCATTCTGAGCCTCTGGGCCTCCCAAATGGGGTCGAAGCAGATGGGGTCGAAGGATCGCTCCACATCGCCGATGCATCGGCGACGCGGCTGGACGTGAAGCCAGACTTTCTCGCTGGGGCCCCCGCGCGGATTTCTTGGATCTGCGCTGGGGCCCCCGGCGGCGGCTCCAGCGCCGCCCCCAGCGCGCTCCGCGCGCCATGGATGGGGGTCCAGCGCAGATCCAAGAAATCCGCGCGGAGCGCCAAAAGTTTACCCATCGGTCGTTCGTTTGTTGTTCTTCTATCTCGCCACGAGCTGTTTTCATGGGACCCGGTGAAGGGCCCCGGAGTCCAAACGCAGACACAATCGAGTTCCGTCGTAAGTGTTTCACGGCGCGAGGGTGCTGTGGGGTCGCCGCCTACAGGAGCCCGGGTCCGTGGTCACCACGAAGGATTCCGAGGGGAACAGGATCCGCCTGCAGACCGTGGAGGAGTTCAAGGTCGGCGCCAAGGTGCAGATCCAAAGCGGCAAGGCCGACGGGGGACACATCCCTAACCTCGAAGGGTTTTTAGAGATCTGATCCCTCCCCTGTTTCTCTCAATCCCGACCCTCCTCCTGCTGCTGCTCCTCCTCCCCCTCCTCCTAGGGGTCGAGGGTCTCCCTTGCCCCCAGCAGGGGTGCCCGCGCCGCGCTGCCGCGCGCGCGATAGGCCCCTGCGCTGCGGTGGCGCTCCGCGCCGCCTGCCGCCGTGCCCTGGGCTGCTCCAGGCGAGTGGCGCTGCGCGGTGGCGGCGATCGGTGGCGGGAGGCGACGCACGCCTTCCCCGTCGTGGCATCGGCGGCTGAGGAGGGCGAGGGGGGCTGGACGCCATCTCCTGCGAGTGGAGGCCGCCCGCGAGCTGTTGACGGAGCACCACGGGTCTCAGGCGCTTCGGTGTTCCATGGCCAGTCGGTCCACAAGTGCTGAGGATGGCGCCAAGGTGGATCCGCGCTGGGCTTGCGTTGCTAGTTGCCAGTGCGGCTACACGAGGAATTTCGCCAACAATCCATATTGCTTCCGCTGCGGGAGGGACCGCGCTGGGAAACCAGGGCCAGCAGCCACGCCAGACAAACGACCTGGCCGTTCGCCCGCGCCCCGCCGTCCGAGCAGGCCCAGGCAGGCCAGTGCACGAGGTGAGCGGCCAGGCGCCGAAGGAGAGCCCGCCGACGAGCCACCCACTGTGTCCGACGCGGTGGCCAAGGCCAGGAAGGCGGTCGCAGCTTTGCGACGCCTCGGCCTCGACGACGGTAGCAGTTTGCTCGTCGCGGCTCGATGAGAGTTGGTGGAGGCCGAGGAGGCCGAGCGAACGACCCGCACGCCCGACGATCAGCTCCGACGGTTATGCGACAGACAGCAGCAGAAGACTAAGGAGGTCGCCCACCTTCGCGAAGTGGTCGCCGAGCTGCAGAAGAACTACGACGCCAAGAAGGAAGAGTTCCAGCAGGCAGAGGCCGAGCTCCTGGCCATATGCTCCGAGGTTGAGGTCGCCAGGGCTGCCCTGCTTGCAACCACTCCATCCGGTGCTTCGAGGGCTCCGACAGACATGGAGCTGGATGATTCGCTGGAGCGGCTCGGCCACATTGTCAACGCACGGACGGTGCCTACAGGAAAGCTTGGTTTTGGCCAGAGTATTCGAGGGCGGGGTGGGTTTTCTTAAGTGCGCCTACTGCATCGGGCTTATGGTTATGGCGCGCTCCCGGGTCCGATCCAAAGTTCCCCACGGGCTGAGCTATGCGCGTTTCTGAAAGTTATAGAAGTATGTATCACACGTGTGCATGTACATACTGATTATATAGTTATGTTACACGGGTTTGCCTGGGGACCGACATACACCTCGGGACCCCGACGGCCCAACTCGGCTTTCTGGACCACGATGTGGCACAACATCGACGACCACGGAGACCTTGGAGATGCCATGCGAGTTCCACATGTCCGCGGATATCAGGCCGGAGCGTCTGTACTCGCGAGAGCGAATCGATGGGCATATTTAGTTGCACGTGCTGGCAGGGAGATCCATGCTGCTACGTCCCAGCAGCAGAAAGGTATGCGCCTCGCCCTTCGGTCCGCCCGACGTGTCTTGCATTGGCTAGTTGCTGCGCATTTGCGCCACTTGGGTAGTGGAAGGACTGACGCGCGAAAGCGGGATGCAGCTCGACCCCGCCGACGCAAAGCTCCTAAGATGCATTCCCCCCCCACTACCGCCTCACCTGAGGCACGTCTTCCCTGAACAGCCGGGGGTTCACCAGGTGCAGGTTGTGTAAGAAAGGTGTGAGGTCGTGCAGAGCGATTCAGAAGCTTCAATTGTCTGAGTGTCCTGCCCGTGGCAAGCAGAGCGTCGTTGATTGTGCCCCCCTTTTCCCCCACCTTGCCTCAGGAGGGAAGGAAAAGAGCCGCTGAATCTGGAGCGTTGTACAGCAGCCCTGACGGGCGTGCGGTCCGACGGCGTGTTGAATTCGATCCGATAGTTGCCACCTCCACCATCGCTGCTCGATAGCTCGAGCAAGCGGTTGTCAGAGTCAGCTCGGATGATCCCTCGTCGGCTCACAGCGGAGCCAGGAGCATGGTTGACCCTGACTTGATCCCTGATCGCGTGGGCCCTGCCTGTGCCCCTGGCCGCACACGGCAACGCACGGGCCTCGAGAGGACCGACAGGCCTTGTGAGGCTGATTTCACGGTCCCTGCGGCCATGGTGCCGCGAGCGGGCATTGTGCCTGCGACGGCTTCGAGAGGCCACCGAATTTGGGTCGCTCCTGGCCAGTGTGTCCTGTGCGTGTCGCGCGGTTTCTTTTCGACGGGAGCCGCAGGCCATTTACTAGTCGATTGTGCTGCCGAGGAACATCGCACCTCGGAGCGGGCTGATCGTAACAGGAAATTGCTTCTAGCGGGGAAGCACCCTGCTGACGAAGGGAGAGTGGACGGTCGTGTTTTTCGGCGCCCAGGCCTCTGCAGGCCACGGACCCCGAAGTTCATTGGCTGAGGCTCCTAGTGGACCCCAGCACCGTTTACAGGCAACCAGCACTCTAACTCCTCACAGTGTGAGGCTGCCCTCTTCATATTATTTAATCGTTTCGCTCATTCCGCCGGCCCGTATTGTGCCATCGCAGGCGTTTGCTTGCGCGTTCGTGGCCTCTTGGAGCCTCGGTGGGGCCGTTTGGGGCCTCTTGGCGCCTCTTTTTAGGCCTCTTGGAGAACTCGGGAGGCCTCCAGGGGGCCTCCTGAGCTCTCGTGACGGTCTCTTGGGGGGCTTTCGGCGGGCTCTTGGCGGTATTTGTTGGTCCTCTTGGGGCCTGGGGCCTGACGTTGTTGGTCCTCTTGGGGCCTCACGGGAGCTTATTGGGGCGTCTTGGGGGTGTCTTGGAGAGTCTCTTGGGGCCTCTTTCGGGGTCCTGGGCGCCTTCTGGGGCGGAGGGCTCGATTTTTCAGTTCTCGGTTCCCTTCTTGAGCCCCTCTTGGGCCCGTCTTGGGGCCTCTTGGTCCGCCTTGGGCAGCACTTGGGCCGTCTGGGGGGCGCTCTTGGGCCGCTCCGGGGCCGTCTTGGGAGCCTCGTGGGCCGTCTTGGAGCAGTCTTGAAGGCCTCTTGGGCCCTCTTGGAGCGTCCGGAAGCGAAAAGGCCAGAACGCAAAAAAAGCGTAGAAAAAACAAATGAAAATCAACGATTTTGGCTACTTGGGGCCCTCTTCGGAGGCCTCTTGGAAGGCCCTTGGAGCGTCTTGGAGGCCTCTTGGGCTGTCTTGGGGCCATCTGGGGCGTCTTCGGGCGATCTTTGGCCGTCTCGGGCCTCTCTTGGACCGTCTAGAAAGCTTCTCGGGGCCCTCTTGGACCGATCTGGAGCCCTCTTGGACTCCGAAACAGAACTCCGGCATCTCTGACCCGACCTTGCCGGGGACCGGGGACTTGCCGGGACCTTGCCGGGGTACTTTTCGCCCGGGGACCCCCAGGGGCCGCCCCGCGCGCGCGAACTAGAAATACTGTTAACCAGGTACCGGAGATCTTAGCACGCCCTGGCCCGTTGGGCCGGCGAATTCATAACAGTTTCATGCTCCGCGATGCGGCCGAGATCCTTCGGGTTGGCCTCGTCGCGATCGCAGCTTGAGGGGAGGTCGATGTACCCCCCTCCGCTAATGTGCCCGTCTGTGCAGACGCGCGGCGGCGCCAAGCAGCGTCTTGACCTCACCCTCCTCCTCCACCCCCCCCTCCTGCTCCGCCGCCTCCCCCTGATCCGTCTCGTCCTCGTTCTCCCCCTGCCCCTCCCCCGCGATCGTCCCCGTCGTCGTCTTCGTCCTCGTCCTCCTCCTCGTCGTCCTCGTCCTCCTCCTCCTCGTCGTCCTCGTCCTCCTCCTCCTCGTCTTGGTCCTCGACCTCCTCCTCGTCGTCCTCGCCGTCGCCGCATATCGTGGCCGAAGCTTGGCGTTCGCCCGGCTGGCTCCCGGGTTACCTCGGCGGGCGGCGGCCCGGCAGGCCTGCCGCGGCTCGCCCCGGCGTGCGGCACCTCGGGCGCCGCACGCGCGGGAGGAGGATTCCCTCCTCCTCCTCCCCCTCCTCCTCCTCCTCCTCCTCCTCCTCCTCCTCCTCCTCCCCCTCCTCCTCCCCCTCCTCGCCCTCCTTCCCCTCCTCCTCCTCCTCCTCCTCCTCCTCCTCCTCCTCCTCCTCCTCCGCCCTGGCTTGCGGGCACCTGGCGCGCCCCGCGCGCCAGGGAGTACGTCGGGCCCGTCCCTCTGCGGGAGGAGGATTCAAGAATAGTCGAAACATAGTCTGGGTATGTTTTGTATTTTTTGCGTTTTGGAATCTGTTTGGAGCTTTTTTTCATGTTTCGTCGACAATCCCCCTGTAGGGGGACGCCCGACTGACGCCTGGGAATGGGGGGGGGCCCAGCGCAGAGGTCGTGGTGTTGTTGCCCAGCCATCCTGTGTCGGGCGTGTCCTCCCACAGTTGGATTTTGAACGAAAAGTGAAAAACAGTGAAAGCATATTCCAAACATGGTCGAAAAGAAAAACCCTTCCCTGACGCCTTTTTTATCACCGTTTTCTATCACCATATCTGAATATTCCTTCTGTAGAGGGAAGTGCCCGACTTAACCGAAGATCGATCCAACAGGCGGTGGGGTTCTGGACGAGTCCCCACCTCGCCACGAAGACGCTCCGAGCCTTTCGGATGTGACTCCTGCGAGGTTGAAATCCACATCCGAGCCCAGCATGTGTCCGCGGTCGAAGACAAGTCTCATCTGGCACAATCACGCTTATAATTCCGTCCAGCTTCGGTGAGTCCAGCGTGATCTTGGGCTGAATCTGGCTGGTCCGGGCGAGTAGCCCTCTAGTCGGGCTTGATAATAAGTTTTTGGAGTCGTACGGACGAAGACCTGCCAGGACCCTGACCTAGCTGAACGCTAGAAGATGGGCATCCGGACCCACAGGCCTATCAGGATTGCTTCATACCTCTTACCCGAGGTCAGAAATCATGGTGTCAGTTCCCCACCGTCCCGTGTCGAGTCCGGTCCCTGTCCTGAGGAGAGCGCCTCGCGTGCCTCCTCGCCCTTCCTCCTCCTCTCCTCTGCGCCCTGCGCGGTCTCTCTGCTTCGGCACGCCCCTCCCCCGCGTCGTGGCCTCCCGCGCGTCGTGGCCCGGCCTCGGCCCCCCCCCCCCCCCCGCGTCGTGGCCTCCCGTGGGGAGCCCCCGCCCCCCGCGTCGTGGCCTCCCCGTGGGGAGCCCCGCGCCCCCGCGGGGCGGAGGGCCGGGACGGGCACGCAGGCACGGGGGCCCGGAGGTCCTGGCGCTGCCGCGTTCTTTCTCGCCGGGCGCGGTCGCCGGGCCTCGGGCCCCGGGGCCCTCAGAGAGCGATTGGCGCGGTGTCCACCACCACCACAAGTTGGAGGGGGAGGGGGTCCTCCCCCTCCTCCTCCTCCTCCTCCTCCTCCAACTTATGGTGGTGGTGGCTCCTTCTCCTCCTCCTCCTCCTCCTCCTCCTCCTCCTCCTCCTCCTCCTCCTCCTCCCATTTATTGAAAAATTGCCCATCACAGATCGCTCTGGCTCGAAAGACGGCACAGGAAGATGTGAGGTTCAGGGCTTCGGCGGTGATGTTTCGCGATGGTAGATGTTTGTCGCAGCGTCGGCTCTCCGGGAATTCCGCGCGAGGTTCCGAAACTTGTCGTTCATGATTGCATCTGGATCCTATAGACTTTAGGACATGGACATGTCAGGGGCCGCATGGGGGCCCGAACACATCCACGTCCGCCGTCCCCTTGGGTCCGATCGGGTCAAGCGAAAAGAGAGAGGAATTGCGAAGAGAGAGGGGATGCGACACCTGCCGCATGCCGCTGGTTTCGGCCAGCCCGCCGGGCGCTTTTCTTTAACACTGGCGCCAGGAAATCAGCTTCAACCCGCATTGTAATGGTGGGCAACCTACCAAGGGTACCCTTGAATCCTTGTCCCTCCAGGCCATCCTCAGCGACTCTCGCTGGCCAACCTCGCTCGAAAAGCGTTCAAATGGCCCTCAAGGTTCTTGCATCCTCACCGCGCATCCTGACGATGCGGCTCGACTGCACGTGAGCTGATTAGCGAGCTCCTCCATGATCGGCCAACGCAAGCGTGCCCTTCGCCAAAGTGACCTAGCCTGCAGCCCCCCCCCCGGCACTGGCCCGCGTGCTTGAGGTTTTGGTCCCCCCGCGGCCTCCTGCAGCAGCGCACCCGAGGTCTCTGTTGCCTAGGGCCACTTGCATAGAGCCGACATGACACATTTTGGGTCGGGCACGGCCTCCTACAGGCGCATTTGGGAAGACAAACAACTTGGTCTAAAGATATCCAAAAAATCAACCAAGCCATCAGAAGCATCGTCCCATATTATTTTTGTATCATTTTTGGGTACTCTTCCTGTAGACGGACGCGCCCGACTTAAGACTGATTGACCACCCTCTTGGACGAATCCCCCCCCCCCCTCTCGCACGAGGGCACCGAGACGGGCGTCGTCAAAGATCCGCCTGGCCGACGCCGCTCCCGCCCCCCCCCAATAGCATCGCGGCCAAAGAGCCAGGACACGGCTGGCCTTTCGCGCCGTCTCTTGGGCCTCACGTGACCTTGACATCTGCTGGGTGTGGAAATACAGTGGAGACCCATGCCAAGAAACACCTTGCGTGCCTCCAAGTGTCCTGTTTTTCTTGGGTTTCCATGGTTTTGCGATGGAAGGCGTGACGTTCCCACACCAAAAATGAGTGGACATCCTGGGTTCTCAGGGTTGGCTTTCTTGTCCAAGGTTTCTTGTGGATCGGCCCCCACTGTATCACGCCTACCGGCGTGCTGGTGCTTATTTTCTGTTTCGGGGGCTCTCACCGGGCTCTGGGATCGTCAAGAATTTTCGGTGGCAAGTCATGGGAGCCTGGTCTACCGTATACCTTTTTAGCTCCGTCTTCAGTTTCGTTCGATTAATTAGTGTCGATTAGCGTCTGGAGTCGATGAGACAGCGCCGATTTAGAGTCGGCCAGCGTCGTTTGGCGTCGATGTAGCGTCGATTACCGTCGACCGTCGGTTAGCGTCGCTTAGCGTCGATTCGCAAGAGCCGACAAGATGGTGTGGGAGGCTCCCACGAGTTGCCACCGAAAGCAACCGGCCCTGGGGACAGAGAGCTTCGGAGCGCGATTGGGAGCATGTTTCGCACAAGCGGCAAACAAAGTACACCCCACCCCCGCGTGCCCCCCTTCGGATGCAACTCCTGGGAGGTCAAATTCTGATTTTGCCTTGTTCCGAAATCCCGCTTAACCCCGCTTAATCCCGCGCAATCCGGATTAATCCCGCTCAATCCCGCTTAATCTGGCTTAATCCGAGGCCCACTCCGGCGTAACAGCCCCCCCGTGGGGCTTAATCCTCTTTAATCTTTCCGACGAAAGCCTCCCAGTAGTTGCCTCCTAACCCCCCAGCCTCTCTAGGGAAGGGGGGGCCAGGTGGTGGCGGCGCGTACTTGCTTTTGTTGTTCGATCACCTGCTGTCAGCGCGCTCCTTGTGGTTTCTGCCTGGCAGGGGGGTCCAGGTCTCCATGGCACTGCAGAGGCAAGCGCTGCGCCTCGTCGCCGCTCTCGGCCCCGTGGCTCGTCCGCTGCCCTCGCTGCGGCATCTGCGCTGGGCGCTGCGCTCGAGGCCCCGCGCGGCAACGGCACGCTCTCGCCACGGCGGCGCCGCCTTGGCCGACGACGACGTGGCCCAGCTCCGAGGCCCGTGGCGAGCTCGCTGCTCGGGCTGCGGCTCCGTCCTTGCGCGGCTTCATTCAGGAGGGAAAAAAACACACAGACACAGTTCATCGACGATTCCCCCGAAGATATGGGAAAGCATCAGAGGTGGGGGGGAAGACAAAAACCCAGCGAACATAGGAACATTTGGGGAATCTGGTTATTTGTGTCCATTTATTTGTGTGTCCCAGTTCCCCTTTACGCCTGGTGGGCGGGGGGCTGCAGGGCGGCAAGCGGGGCTCACGCGCCTGGTGACCCAGGGGGGGGTCGGCGGAGATCGTGGCGAACCAGAACGAGCTCGTCCTGAAGCAGAAGCTGAAGCACAAGCACCCCGTTGGCGCCAGCGTCAAACTGCAGTGACATCCCGGCTGCATCTTGGCCTCCAGGTCGACCCATCGAAGATCGGGGGCGGCAAAGAGGGGGGTGATGACTAGGGGGGAGTGGATATCATGGCGTGGGCCATGATATTTCACAAGATTTCGTGGCGCCTCTTCTTATTTCATCACATCCCTGGCCCTCCCCCCGGGGCCGCGCACATGCCGCTTGCCATGGTTTGCGCCCCCCCCTCTCGGACGCTCCCCTCTTGGCCGCCCCCGAGACGAAAACGAACAAACAGCATAATCTCATAAGCTCGGATGTCCGCGCGGAGTGCTTTGGTCGGCGCTGCGCCTCCCTGGCGGCGCCTCCGGCTGCGACCTTGGCCCGCTCAGCACGACGGGGAGGGATGTCCGGCTCAGATCCAAGAAGTCCGCGCGGGCCTTGAGCTTGTGTAAGTTATGATGTTGTTTCTTAGTGCAGTGGGGGCCCATGCCAAGAAACACCTTGCTTGCCTCCAGGGTGCCCTGGGTTCCTTGGGTTTTGATGCTTTTGCGATGGAAGGCGCGACGTTCCTGCACCAAAAATCGATGGACGTCTCGGGGTCTCAGGGTTGGGGGGGTTCTTGTGGAAGGTTTCTTGTGGCCGGCTCCCTACTGTATTCCTTCGTGGAGAGTTCAAGGTTCCGACCTGATCATCTGCTCTGCTGTTGTCCTCTCTCGCATCCCGTTGAAGGCGGGGATGTGATCTCAGGAGGAGCGTTCGAGTTAGGATTGCATGGCCGGTGTCGTGTCTCACCCTCCTCCAAAGCGTCCAGTGCAGGTATGAGGTAAACAGAGACAGAGGGCGGAAGAGGGGTCGGTAGAGGAGGAAGGAGGAGCGGAAGGGTGACATGAGAGGAGGAGGGGGGGATGGAGGGAGGAGGCCGATGAGGCGGATGCGTCGGAGGAGGAGGAGGACGAGAAAAGAGCATGGGAGTATGGCCTCGCAGCTCCGTCCGACGGCCGAACAGAGAGTGGAGGGCCCCCAGCCGAGGAGCCAAGGGCGCAGCAGTGGAACCTCGCGCAGGAGTCCGGCAGGATGAAGAGTAGCGGGGTGCAGGACCGGAGGTCCTTGCCCCCACCCTCCCCAGTGCACATGGCACCAGGCACCACCAAGAGGACGGTGCTGGAGCAAGCGCCAGTGCATTTGGCACCCAGCACCACCAAGTAGATTGACCCAGCCGCCGCCGCCATGCCCACCCGATCAGCTGGCCGACGCTCTCCACGACAAAGGAGTACCCGTCTCGGGGTGCCTGCCCGCCAGCAGCTTCATGAGCCGCGAGCGCAGGTTAGAGAGGTGCGTGCGCTCGTCACGGCCCTCGACCGTAGGCTGCCCTAGGCACGGCGCTGCTGGGCGCGGGAGGTGCCTGCCACCGTCTGACCAGGTCACGCACACCTCGCAGTAGACCGTCGGCCCCGCACGCCGAAGCCGATGGCGACTGACTTAGGGGAACGAAGAATGACATACACATACAAACTCGGCGGTCCGCGCGGATTTCTCGGATCCGCGCTGGACACCCCTGGCGGCGCCTCCGGCGCCGCCCCTGCCGCGCTCCGCGCGCCAGGGAGGGGGGTCCAGCGCCGATCCGAGAAATCCGCGCGGACCGCCGAGTTTTTGTGTGTATGTCGTTCTTCGTTCCCCTGTAATTGAGTCGGGCCTGTCCCTCTACAGGAGGGATGCTAAAAAATCGTCAAAAAATAGCCTGGAGAATGTTTTTGACGATTTTCGAGCTATTTTCGAGCATTTGGGAGCATTTTTTGCGCATTTTTATGTTTTCGCCCGGAATCCCCCCTGCAGGGGGACAGGCCCGACCTGACCCTGTGACTTCCACGCCGCCGCCGCCGCCCCGAGCGCTCCCCTCGCCACGGCGGGCTGCTCGAGGTCGCCGAGGGGGCCTCGAGGCACCGACCGGGTCAGAGAGCCTGCACCTTGGCGGCGTGGCCGGCCGTCGAGCTGCAGGCCGCCTCCGCGCCTCGCGTGCTCGGGCTCCTTTGCAGGCTGACGCCAGCCAACTGCCGAGTCGGGCCTGTCCCTCCACAGGGGGGATACTCCAAAGTAGTCAAAGAATTGTCTTGGGCCGATTGTCTTGACGATGTTCGAATATTGTTTTGGCATTTTAAAGGTAGTTTTAATTCTTCGTCCCAAATCGACCATCAGAGAAGATGATCCCAGTGCGACTCTGCCTAGGAGTTGGAGCATTTAGGAAAGCAACATCTCCATCTACACCGACAGCTACATTTACATCTACACCTGCTATGCTATGCTAGGGTACGCTCGGCTGCGCTGTGTTATGCTAGGCTATGCTATGCTATGATATGCTGCGCTATGATATGCTATGCTATGATATGCTGCGCTATGCTATGCTATGATGTGATGCAATGCTATGCTGCGATGTGCTATGCTAAGCAAGGCTATGCTATGCTATGCTGCGCTGTGCTATGCTAATCAGTGCTATGCTATGCTATGCTATGCCGCGCTGTGCTATGCTATGATATGCTATGCTGAGCTATGCTATGCTATGCTTGGCTATGCTTGGCTATGATATGCTATGCTATGCTGTGCTAA